AGCTCTGTGGAATGCCCTCAGTACCCGTGCCCCATCGATGCACTTATACAGTGAGCACCTGGAGGGCTGCATGTCCATGGAGGGTGACATCCTGAATGCCATTCCAGTACTCTCCTGCTCCTTTGTTCCTGACACTTTTGGCCCCTCCCCTTGCTTCTTTGAAATCATAGTGCTCTCTGAGCACTTCCCTGGCACAAAGAAGCCTCCCCGCTGTGTGACATCAGGGTGTTTATATTCCTTCGCTGCCATCTTTGCAGGCAAGGAGCAGATCCTGCTGCAGAAGGATTATGAGTCAGCATCGCTGACAGAGGTGCGGGCCCTGCTGCGGAAGCATGAGGCCTTTGAGAGCGACCTGGCTGCACACCAGGACCGAGTGGAGCAGATCGCTGCCATTGCACAGGAGCTCAAGTGCGTATGGATGCCCTAGCCCTGGGTACTGTGCGGAGATTCCAGGGACAGCATGAAGGTGGCTGCCCTGCCCCTCCCCTACTCATTTCACAGAGTCAGGTGGAACAGCCAGGAATGAGCTGCTGCTTGCTTCTCTAACTCTAGAAACAGACTGGGCTCTGGTTTTTGGGTTGTAGCAGAATCCCTGCTGTCCTCCAGCCCCTGTGTCCATATCCCCTCCCATCTAGCATCATGGAGCTCTGGCATAGACAGCCCACTCCCAGGGAAGTGAGGAACTTGGGTAGGTGAGGGAGGCCACTGCACCCTGACCAGGGCAGGAGATGAGACCAAAACGAAAGTTACCATCTGTTCTGCTCTAGTGCTTTTTGTTCTGTGTGGAGGGCTGCCATAGTGATCCGTTGAGGCTGGCTGGCTAAGTACTGAGTGAATGTTCGCCATCCCTGTCTTGTGCCCTGGCAGCCTGGGTGGTGGCCATCCTCAGGGGTCTCCGTGCTCAGGTGTCTCTGAGCTTTTATGTGGCCTTTGCCCCCTTTTAATAAATGTAAAATTTCACTCCCTGCTGTTTCTGATTCATTGTAGTTGCTGATATATTTGCAGAATTTTTAGAGCTTAAAGCATACTCATAACTTTAAAAAGTAAATAATTAAAATTTATTTCAATGTATTAGATTGTAAAACTCTTAGCTTCCTCATCATTGACTAGAGCAACACCTTAATTGACAAGTGGGGCCTCTTTTAAGAGTATCCTTTTGCAGCCTTGCCTATATAGACTGTTAATTATATGAGGCCTTGGCATCCAATTTGTACACTACGTTTGTGGCCTTTATGTGGTCCTGTTTATCGTGCTTTTTGCATGTTGGCTCTTGATTGGTCACTATTAGTTGCTCACGAATAAAATACTGAGATGAAAAGGACTTCAAGATATTTAGTGCTTTGTAATGGCTCCCACAAGTAATTTGGAACTGTTTTAAGTGTAGGCCATACATTTTAAGCAATAATTTTATATAGTTATTATTTCTGGTGCCCTGGATGCCTGTTTCTTCATACAATGGAGATGACGAATTTAAGTCTGTGACCCTCTTACTGTTACTAACATCCTTCTCAGGGCTGGGGATTTAGCTCAGTGGTTTCGCCGCCTGCTGCGCAAGCGCAAGGAACCGGTTTGATCCCCAGTACCAAACAAACAAACTAACTATCATCCTTCTCCTTTTTCCTTGTCCAAAAATAAGAAATCTGAGTTTTTGTTCAGTTTTCAAAAAGCACAATAATAGTTATGCAAACCCTAACTCCATACCAGTAGATATGAATTGGTGAGAAGAGGAAGACCATAAAGATAATGTTAGAGAGTGAGCATTGGTGTCTCCACTATGGGTCAGTAGAAGGATCCCTAAGATTTTGATTCTGTTTTCTTCTTCTTTTTCTTATTTGTATTTTGAAGAGCTATTGCCATTCTCTTTTGTATTCAGGGTTTGTAAACTACTGGTGTGATTTGCTTTTTTTTTTATAACAAATAGACAAAAGAATCTTAGACAACCTCAGTCAGATGTAAGTATGTTTTGTAGACATTTTCTGGTTGCTCTTGAGAATAGGACAAGCTCTGACAAGGTGACAGAGAGCTCTGACAAGGTGACAGGGAGCTCTGTCCCTATTGGAATGTTCTGGAAGGACACCAAAGAACGCTCAGACAACAACCATGTGCAGTAAAATCAGTAAGCATGAGTTAATATTATTCCAGAAAAAAAAGCAGTGAATGACCGCTGCTCTAACTTAAAATGGGAAAAAAGAGATAAACTTAAGCCTCAGGGAAATGGTTGGCAGGGATGGAGGGGACTTCTAGAAAGTTGTCTCATCCTGGATCATGTTTGAAGTCTCTTCACTTTCATCTTAGCTAAAAGGGTGATTATATTTTGTACAGGATTCAAACCTGTTATCCCTGAGATATGAGGTTGACCTTCTAGTCAAGCATTTCTTTTATGGTAATTTCCAATGAATTCACCTCGACAAGACCTCAGATAGGGTACATAAATGGATATGGCAAGGAAAAACAAGCATTCAGCAAGAAGTCATTTTGTTCTTTCTGTCACACTAGCAGCACGACCCAAACCAGAACCTTATTGTCCCTAAGTGGAAGGACTCTGTCCTTCCCCATTTTACAAGTCCCTGTGTGCTAGATAAAGTCACAGTGCCCTGCTACATGGGTTGCTCCATTTTGTGGTCAGGTTTCATGCCCTCCAAGAGGAGCCAAGGACATAGGGCAGTGCAGTCCTTGACTCTGCCCCTTGATCATTCTGATACTCCAGTCACTGTGGCTGTGGCCTGGCTGCAGAAATGTCACCAAGTCAGATGGTTGGCTTCACTTACAGTTTCCTTTTTTTTTGGTACTGGAGATCTAACTTGGGACCTTGCACTTACAAGGCAAGTGATGGAACCATTGAGCTAAATCCCTGGCCCCTACAGTTTCCATTTTAAAATCAGTCTCTCAGGGCGCCTCACCAAGAAACCCAGGTAAAAGAAAGCTAGCCCAGGCATAAGTTTTACTAATTCTTCTGTCATTTACTAAAGTGATAATGTTTGCAATGGCAAAGATGAACAAAACCCTAAGATACATTGCCAGTTCTCTATATTTTTTAAACTTTCCTATTTGAATCATTTTCCATCATATCACCTGGGAAAGTTAATCTTTATCTTTCTTTTTAACTTTTCATAGTGAACTGGACTATCATGATGCAGTGAATATTAATGATCGGTGCCAGAAGATTTGTGACCAGTGGGACAGATTGGGGACACTCACACAGAAGAGGAGAGAGGCTTTGGAGGTAATATCTTAAATCCACCTGTTGAATTCTTATTTATGAAGCCACTTGTTCATGAGATCTTTAATACAGACTCTTTAAGTCACTGAGGCTAAGTGTTTCTCTCCGATCTTGTGTGTACAAAACAGTGTCTAGTAAACACAAATATGAGAACCAGAAGGAATGGGAGGTTGGTAGCTTTGTACTATAACTTGTCCATACAGCAATGAAATGCACTTTGGATTTAAAAAAATCCAAGGGTGATGAGATTATGATAAAAGCCCACTTTGGGTCAAGTAGTAATTACAGTGACTTTCCAAAAGTTCTTTTACACATGTAAGTCAACTGAATCAGGAAATTAGAAAAAACCAAACTTGAGATTAAAAGGGGAAAATGGGGGAAAAAATGAAGGAAAGAAAAATTGGTGTGAAACAGAATCAGGATACATTGGCCTTAATCCAAGTGTAAGACTTGGGTAAATGACAATTGGTAGCTGAGTTTAACTAAACCTAATTACCTTTTGTTATAAAGACTAATGTTAAGTGAAATAAATCAGACACACAAACTGAAGAGTAAAATAAAGATAGCGAATAGGAAACAGGAAAGTAGATCTTTTGCCAAAGGGAAGAGGACCCAAGAGTTGGAAGGAAGAGGAAGGGAGGAGAAGGGAAGGGGATGAAAAAGAATTAAGATGTGTTATGTACATGTACCAACTCCCCACGATGAATGTAATCATTATGTACTACAAACATGTACTAATAAAAATAAAAAATTTTAAAATGACTAATGTGACATGAAGAAAAGCAGTTGGCCAATTTTTAAACATTTCTACTTGAATTTGATTCAGGGAAAGGGCAAAAATTTTAGAACAGGAGGAGGAAAGAAAAATGAATGTAACTGTGCAGACTTTTGGGCACAGGATGCTTTCCCTGTCTGTCCCTCTCTGGCTCTGCTGTGTGGAACAGCACACATCGCTCTCTCTCGCTTGAACCTTTGTGCTTTCATATACCCAGAGAGGCAAGAGGAGCCTTGTGTCAAATAGTGATTTGCTGTAATTACTGTTAGACACAAAGTGGCCTTAATATCATAATTTTATCACTCTTGAATTTGTTTTTAATTCAAAAGTGTGTTTTAGGGGCTGGGGATTTAGCTCAGTGGTTCCGTGCTTGCCTCGCAAGCACAAGGTCCTGAGTTTGATCCCCGGTACCAAAAAAAAAAAAAGTGGGGCCGGGGATTTAGCTCAGTGGTTTTGCCGCCTGCTGCGCAAGCGCAAGGACCTGAGTTCGATCCCCGGTACCAAAAAAACCAAAAAAACAAAAAAACGTGTTTCACTTATGTGTCGATAAGTTATAGCACAAAGCCACCAACCTCCCTTTGTCTCTGCCTCCCACTTTTTGTGTCCTGCATGAGGCTAGTTCCTTCTGTTCTCCTTGGGCAGGTGACTTTGGGAAAGGCACACACCTTTCCTGCACACTGTTGACTACATAAGGCATAAGATGCCTTGACCTTCCTTTTTCCCTGCACAGTTAGGGAATCAGGTCCTCTAACTTATAAAATCCTACTTCACCTGAAAACAAGACACTGTGCACCTGTGTGGATTCTCAGCTTTCCAAAAAGTAGCACAAAGTAGAGTGCATTAGGTGCTTTAAAAACAAGACTATCCCAGCACTCGGGAGGCTAAGGCAGGAGTGTTGCTGAGTTTGAGGCCAGCCTGAACTACATAGTGGGACCCTGTCTCAAAAAAAAAAAATAAAAAATAAAAACAAGGTTTCTCTAGATGTTATTAAATATTTCTTTGATTTAAAAGGCCCCTTAGAGGCCCTAGGACTCCACCTATTTGAGCATCAGGTAATCTTTTGTAGACACATGCTAAACATCATTTAACACTGTTTTTCTGGGATACATATTTACATTTGTACATCAGAAACTTTTTACTATTTAATCTATGATAACACTTGCTTCCATTTAACTAATCTCCAGAGGACTGAGAAGTTACTAGAAACCATTGATCAATTGCACTTGGAGTTTGCAAAGAGAGCTGCTCCCTTCAACAACTGGATGGAAGGCGCTATGGAGGACCTGCAGGACATGTTTATTGTCCACAGCATTGAGGAGATCCAGGTAATTGGACACTGTGACTGTACTCCTACTGTGTAGAGATTGTCATCTATCTATCTATGTATCTCTATCCATCTGTCTTAGATATATGTATTTGAAACACTACCTCCTTACCAAGGAGCAGTCTACTAGGATTTGCCTCTGAGTGTTGAGAATTGCAGACAGCCCCTGACTTATAGATGCTTTACCTTAGGAGTTTTTAACTTTATGACAGTACAAAAGTGATACACGTTCAGTAGGACACATACTTTGAATTCTGAAGTTTGATCTTTTCCTAGACTAGTGATTGAGTTGAGGTAGTCCTCTCATGTGGTACTAGGCAGCAGCAGCTCCTGATCAGCCCCACAATCACATGGGAAACAACTGCTCCTTTGTAATATGCTATGTTGCTAAGCTGTGATGTCTGGTAGATTAGGTATGTTCCATGCACTTTCAACTTAGGATATTTTCAAACTATGATGGGCTTATTGGGATGTAACCACACTGTAAGTAAGTCAGCATGTGTACTTCCTGCACACTAGCTGTCATCTAAAGGATGGTTGTTGGTGTTTCTTGATTGTACTCCAAGGCATGGGGTGACAGCCTGAACATGTTGTTGTTGTTGTTTTGAGACAGAGTCTCACTATGTAGTTCAGGCTGGCCTTGAGCTCACTGTATAGCCCCAAGCTAGCCTCACAAACTCAGGGCAATCCTCCTCCCTTCGGGTGAAGCAACAGTTTTGATAAGTGGAAATTGTTGTAGCCTTGTGGTAAAAAGCTGTTTTCTGTGCCTTTTCTTTTTGAGGAGTACAGATGTTTTCCTGGTGGTTTGGAGGTATAAATAAGGCAGCAAACGATAGGTACTTCTGTAGGTCTGCAAAGGAAAAACTGATCATTAGACAGGGCAGCTAAATTCTACTCATCAGTAGAAAGACTGACCTAAACAATAGCTGGGGACCAGAAATAATGAAAGCAAATATGATTTAAAAAACCTTATTTTTTGAAGAATGGATGAATGGCCATCAATTAAATTGTCATTGTGATATCTTTCTTTCATCTTCAAGGAACCTGACTTCTGTATACCAAAGACCTTTTCTAAAACATCCAGAATTTTTTCTCCAGAGATGCCTGCAATTATAAAGACATTGGCATGTGTGCAGAAGGAACTAGCAAAGCCTGTAAAATGGGCACTAAACTAGATTGGTTTTCTCTACTCATTCCTTGGCAGAGTCTCATCACGGCCCACGAGCAGTTCAAGGCCACACTGCCTGAGGCGGATGGGGAACGGCAGTCTATCTCCGCCATCCAGAATGAGGTAGAGAAGGTAATTCAGAGCTACAACATCAGGATCAGCTCCAGCAACCCATACAGCACTGTCACCATGGACGAGCTTCGCACCAAGTGGGACAAGGTGGGCATCTGAGGCCAGGTGGGGAGGAGGGCAGCATCCTCGAAGCCAGGGTTGAGGGGAAATACAAACACCTCGGGCCTTAGGGTGGCAGCCTGCTGTGGCATCATGATCAGCATTTTCTTTTACCCTAAATTTCATAGGCAAACTATGTGAAACCTTAAATGCTATTAGCCACTTCTACAGTTTGTGGGGAAAATAGAGATTCTCTTCCTTAAGGAAAATTTTACAAATTTTGTCAAAATTAGTACAGGTTATACTACTAATACTATAAGGGAAGCCCTCTTTTTTTTTTTCTGGTACTGGGGATCGAACTCAGGACCTTGTACTTGCCAGGCAGGAGTTACATCTCTGGCCCAAGGGAAGCAATTTTTTTTTTGGTACCAGAGATTGAACTTTGGTTCTTGCGCTTGCGCAGCAGGCAATGAAACCACTGAGCTAAATCCCCGGACCCAGGGAAGCCCTTTTTAATACCCCAACTAAATATTTGGTGGAATCAGCTTGCCCATAGTACTTCATTAGAGAGTTTTTAGATTATGAAATGTACATGCCCCCAAATGTGTATGAATATTAAATGCAGAAAAATTGGTAGAAAATTATATCTGAGGAACCAAAATATTTCTACTAACTTTTGCTGGGGTTTTTTTGTTTTGTTTTGTATTTTGGTAACGGGGATCGAACTTGGGTCCTTGCACTTGTTCAGCAGGTGGCGAAATGGCTAGGTTTTAATTATAGTCACAGTGTGACCATTTGAGCCCACTTGCCTCATTTTTTGTTTGTTTGTTTTTGGTACCGGGGATCAAACTCGAGACCTTGAGCTTGTGAGGCAGGCGGTGGAACTGCTGAGCTAAATTCCTGCCCCCTACTTGCCTCATTTTTAAGAGAAATTTATTTTCATAGTTTAAATTACAGTTAGTCACCTCAGTAAGCTAATATATAGTCTGTGTAAAGAGTAAGTCCAGCATGGCCAGGGATTTAGCTCAGTGGTGCCACTGCCTGCCTCGCAAGCGCAAGGTCCTGAGTTCAATCCTCGTACCAAAAAAAAAAAAAGTTAAAAGAGTAAGTCCACCACATGGATTTGAGGTGGACTATAAAATCACACATAACAAATGAGTTACACACCGTGCATAGCAAGGAAAAAAACAAGTGTAAACAAGGATTGTGTCCATCTTAGAGACAGTAGTTAGATATTGTACAAGAGCTTTAGATGTACCTCTGGTCTTCCTAAGGTCAAAGTAAAAAGGGAAATGTATTGAGCTAAGTAGTTCCTTGTGGGAGAAAAGTGAAAATATGTCATTTCTTTTTTTTTTTTTTTGGTACTGGGGATCGAACTTGGGTCTTTCCGCTTGCGCAGCAGGCAGCGAAACCACTGAGCTAAATCCCCGGCCCAATATGTCATTTCTTAATGTGAGTCAAATATTTCTCCCTTCAGTAAGTTATGAAGCAAATTGGACTTTTGTACAAGGAGCACTGAATAATGATGTATGTAGCAACAGTTTTTTAGATAACACAAACAACAGTTCCAAAGCTTTTTTTGGTCTGTTGATTGAGAGAACTGAGGCAAAGCATTAACATATAATTCACAGTAGAACAGAATGTATGAGACCAGGTGACAAGCTTTGTTGTGATCCAGCATTGCACGGGAATCCTCATTATGAACTCAGCAGGGTTTGCTCTTGGACTCCTTCAAGTAATTATGTCTGAAAATTCATGAAAATATTTAAGATGAAGAAAGGAACAAATTATATTGGAATGTCGTTATTAAAATATTTTAAAAGTTGGGATAGAATAATGCATGTCTCTCCTTATTGACACACAAGATCTAACAGCTGGCTGCTGATCTTGAAGAGCCACATGTACATGATTTTGCACAGTAACTGGGCACTGATCAGCCCAGGGCAATACTACAGTGTATGCAGGTGCTACTAAGTCCTGCTGTGGATTTGCTGCCACATTCATGATCAAAGCAAATGCTGACTTTCAATCAGCAGGGCTGAAAGTTGTTCGCCTTCTGTCATCCAAGTTCACAAATCTATACTCTGCACCTAGCCCCTATGGGGTTGGTACTTCAAGGGGTGAGCTCCTAGCTGGAGAAATGGTTCATATCCCTAATACAGGCTCTTAAATACCCTTCAGCTCAGCCAGTGTTTCAGCAGGCACTTGCTAGTACTAGGTGGCAGTTGAAGCTAATCCCCAGAGTAAGGCCTCTGACTGCCCTGCCCCTAATGACCTTATCCCTCCTTCCCCGCCTTGCTTTCCTTCTCTCCCTTTCCACCCCACCTGTATCCCTTGAACTTTCATCCTGTCGTCATTTCTATGGGACCAAAGCTGGTCTCTAACCTGTGTTGTCTTCCGGTCATTGACAGGTGAAGCAGCTGGTGCCCATCCGAGATCAGTCCCTGCAGGAGGAGCTGGCTCGCCAGCACACTAATGAGCGCCTGCGGCGTCAGTTTGCTGCACAGGCCAATGCCATTGGGCCCTGGATCCAGAACAAGATGGAGGTAGGTCACACCCTTTCCCAGCGGCGTGCCTGAGGCCTTGGAGACAGTCCCTTAGCTGATGGAGCAGCACTTCCTGTGCTGGCCACATCACTCATTCTGCTGTCACCCCAGGCTTCATCTTATCAGCTTTCGGGTTGCCATGGATTGTGTGTGCCTGAGCACTTCTCTTAGGGCATGGAGAGGCGCACTAAAGTGTGTAGGTGGGAGACAAGGGTGCTCCTACTGCCATCTGTTTATTTTGTCATTAAAAACAATGACTAGCTAGGTGTGGTGGTACATGCCTATAATCCTAGCACTCAAGAGGCTAAACCAGGGGGATTGTTGTGAGTTCAAGGTTAACCTGGTCTACATAGTGATTTTAAGGCCAGTCTGAATTATGTAGAGAGACTGACCCTGTCTCAAAATAAATACACATACACACACACAGTAACAAGGTTCTTTCTTACTTTTTGGTCTACAGGAGCTAGTTTTAAACCACCCATCCTTGAGGAGCTGAGTAAAGAGTCACCCACTTTGTAATTTAGAGCTTTCTAGGACCTGTGGTCTTTGAGTGGCTCTGAGGTCTGGGTTTATCCTATCAGTAAAATAGCCAGGAGGCATTTCTCTTTCCATCTCTCTCATGGTAATAAAACTCTTTGCATAAAGGGGATAACACCTAAAATTGTAAGAAATTATGCTGGAGTGAGCAATGGGGGTCTTACATCTATCTGGCATCTCTGTCTTGCCACTGGCCCCAGCCTACCCCAGTACAGGGGACAGAGCAACTGGGCCCAAGGGTGTCCTCCTGCCTACAAGAAGTCTGGTGGGACATATTCCTTACCCCTCCTGCATATCTTCTTTGGAACTTGGTTGGCTTTTTTCCATTTTCCAACAGATCTGAACTAGACCTTGTTCCATTCAATGATCCTGCCAGTTTCCCATCCTGCCTGGGGGCATCCAGTGACTTGGGCTGCTGCTAGATGTGGGTGTGGCCTCTGTTGCAGAGTCAGGACTGGTGATTTCCAAGGAGCTGCCTCAAAGGCCACTCACTTTGTCCCCATGTGCTCCCTTGCCTCTCCCAGGAGATTGCCCGGAGCTCCATCCAGATCACAGGGGCCCTGGAAGACCAGATGAATCAGCTGAAGCAGTATGAGCACAACATCATCAACTATAAAAACAACATTGACAAGCTGGAAGGAGACCATCAGCTCATCCAGGAGGCACTGGTCTTTGACAATAAGCATACCAACTATACCATGGAGGTATGGTAGCAAGACAGGCCTTGCTTCTGCTTGCTGCCTTGTCACCTTCTGACGGCATTTGTTCCTCCTTATTCCTTTTCTGCAAGTATGAGCGTTGGGAGCTTTAAGTCTTTCTACTCACTGTATGTGGAGAAGCTTTGTGAACTCCATCAAGCACCATGGCATAGTTAGGGTTATCACAACATCATTATTGGCTGGGGTTTAGCTCAGTGGTACAGCACTTCTCTAGCATGCCTGAGGCCCTGAGTTTGATCTCCAGCACTGCAAAAGAAAAACATTTCTAATCATTATTGTTATACCATCACAATTAATTAGTTGTACTTCTTTGGAGAGAGTACCAGAAATTGGACTGTGGTCATTTCCACCAGTTTGGCCCACTTTGCTCTTCCTGGGAGCCATCAGGTATAACCCAGGCCCACCATGCTACTTGGTAAATGGGAAGGCATCTTTAGTGATAAATAGACTATGTACTGTACATTGAATCTACAAAGTGCAAATTGTCATTGATAAAACCCTGGCCTCACTTCTGAGTATTTCTTGCTACAAAATCTTGCAAAAAAAGGGGAAAGGTAGAATGAAAGGGGGAAAAAAAACAGTATAGGAAAGTCTGTGATAGCTCTATTTACCTTCATTTGGATTGACTCTTTTGTGAAAATGAAGAGCCAAGGTTGACAGGCTGGGAAATCCTAGAGCTGATGCTTCCCTCTTTTCCTTGGTAGCATATTCGTGTTGGATGGGAGTTGCTGCTGACAACCATCGCCAGAACCATCAATGAGGTGGAGACCCAGATCCTGACAAGAGACGCAAAAGGCATCACCCAGGAGCAGATGAATGAGTTCAGAGCCTCCTTCAACCACTTTGACAGGGTACCACACTCCCTCTGGCTATCTGAAAGGCAGCTCTGTGGACATTAAGCAGTGTATCTGAAATAACATGCATGCTATCATTTTAAATCTTAACACCCCAAAAAGTTTACTGAGGAAGGATAGTAGCTACCAAAACAAGATATACTAAGCTCTGATGCTGCTTGAGGTGTCATAAAGCGTACATGTGGGTGCTGTTTCATGCAGCTCTCTTGATAAATTTGTAGTTGATACCAAAGCTTGGTTTCTTTAGGTAATTTTCTAAAGACATAATTGAAACCTCTTGATATACTTTTCCTAAGTAATTATTTAGGTAAAGTATGTGGTAAAAATTTAATCTACTCTTTCAGCATATAAAAATCAGTTTTTAGCTGGGCATGGTGGCTTGTGCCTATAATCTTAGCACTCAGGAGGCTGAGGCAGAAGGATCATTCTGAGTTCAAGGCCAGCCAGTGTTACATAGTAAATTCAAGGCCAGCCTGAACTACTGCCCACCCCTTAAAAAACAAACAAAAAAACCCCTCAATTTTCTTTTTTAATTAACAAAATTGACTGATGATAATATTTTAAAAAGAGATCCACAAAATGGTAATTTTATAGTAAAAGCATGTAAAAAGTTAAGTACTGCTTATAAAATATTTAGCATTTTGATTTGCATGATATTGAGTAAAACTAATTCTTTATGAGAAAATTCCCAGTTTACTTAGTATATGGCTAAAAGTGACTGTTCAGGCCAAATTCCAATTGTTAAAAGATCACTAAAAAAAGAATGTTTCACTGATTTCTATAGGACCTCACTTATGATTTGCAAAAAACAGTAAATGCTTCCTAAAATGCCTCCAGAGGAAGCTGCCCAGATTTGGGCCTATTAAGGAAGTGAGAAAATAGATTTCTTCTTAGGAAGTTAACAGGTACAAGTAAAGAGTTAGGTATAAAGATGGAAGTTGATGGTTTTAGCACTACTTTTTTTTTTTGGTACCAGGGATCAAACTCGGGACCTTGCGCTGTCAAGGCAGGCGGCGGAACCACTGAGCTGAATCCCTGGCCCACATCTGTATTTTTTGAAGGCCATCTCTCATTTAGGCTGCCTTACAGGAGAAAAAAAAACATGTTGATTTGATCCAAGGTCATGAGACAGTCTTTTGCAACAAAAATGTCCAAAGGAGGACAATGCAGAACTTGCCTATTTAAACACTAAGATCCTTTGTCTCAGAAACAGTTTACTCAGAGCATGCTGGAGAAGAGGGGTCAGGGGTACAGATCCACTTGGCTTCATCTTCCTACTAAACAGAAGGTGGGATTTGGCAGGATGCATTAGGTGTGAATGAAGAGATGCTTCCTTAGACTTCAGAGAGTCAGTGGAGATTATACAGCACAGGTGTCATGGTCAGAGCTGGTGTTACGGAAAAAACCACGCCTGGCTGCACATTTAAGATGTGAAATGGGCTGGAGCAAAGGAGGAAGGGAGAGAAAGCAGCACAGGGTCAGGCAGGAGGCTCCTGGAGAAGTGAAGGAAGAGGAACAGGAACTTCTGGGCTGAGGACAGGTGGTGAGAATAAAGAGAAGGGCAGATCTGAGATTGAGGCAGAAATCTGACAGTTTAATAACAAGGTTTGGGGGTAGAGGAAAAGGAACATTTTTTTTTTTTGGTACCGGGGTTGAACTCAGGACCTTGCACTTGCAAGGCAGGCAGTAGCACCACTGAGCTAAATCCCCGGCCTAGGAACATTTTTTAAATGACATGAAAATTCCAAGCCATGAGGACATGAGACAAGGGGTTCTGGGGAGCCATTGCAGCAAAGATGTCCCCCAGGCAGTAGGAAGCCAGTTCTGAGGCTCAGGGCTGAAACCTGCAGGAGTCGCCACACAATGGTCATCTCTAGCAAGAGGCAGTCTGTCCAGGAAAAGAGAAGGGCCCCAATCTTAGGGAATGGCTATATTTAAGAGTGGTACAAGAGGCAAAGCAAGACAGCAGACAGGGGAGTATCACTGCTGAGTGTTGCTGCAGGGTAGGCAGCCAGTGAGAGCTTGACACACAGGTATATCCAGTTTTCATTTATAGAAAAAGGAACTTTAAACACTAGCATTTGGAACAGGCCATTGCCTGGGTGAACAGAAACACCATAAAAAGTCAGGCATGGTGGTACCCACCTGCACTCCCAGCCGCTCATGAAGACTGAGGCAAGAGAGTCACAAGTTCAGGACCAGCCTGGGCAACTTCATGAGACTTGTCTCAAATAAAAATAAAATAAAAAGGGATGGGTATGTAGCTCAGTACTGCCGGAGCTCAATCCCAAGTACTGCCAAAACAAAACAAAATAACCAAAACACCACTGGCCTTCCATTTGACAGTTGGTTTGACCAATAAAAGTATTATCTTTAATTTCATGTTGAGGATTAGATATTAGCTGATTCCCACAAAACCCTCACATCATAGTGCACCTGTGTACTTCCTGTCATGCCCAGGGCTTTGTGTTGACTCCCCTGTTTCTGCAAAGCTTGGCTTGCAGTTTGGCCTTACCTGGCCTCTGCTGAGAAAGCTGGAGTCCATGGGAACCTTGCACACTGCTCTCTGTAGACAGTCATTAAATTTTGGAGATAAAATAAGCTTTCCGTATGGAGGAGCCACTACCACCTGGTCCAAGTGGTTGCAGCATAACTTTCCAGTTGTTTAAGTTCTGGAAATGCTTTCATCTGGGGGAATTTTGTAAACAATTTAGGTGGGGCCATTAACATTTCTCAGAATGCTTGCAGTATTTTCCAAAGTCAGCAGGTGGTAGTAGTGAGCTACTGATGAGTTCCTTTTGTTTCCTCTTGCAAGTGGGGTCTCCTTTCCTCTTGGTCTAAGCTCCCTCCATAAATCCTAGCCTCTTTTGCCTTCCAGAGAAACTGTTTTGTAACATTCTGTGTCAGTTCTCCTCCCTGTAAGTCAGCAGTGACCTTTATGATCTTGTGCTCGAGGCAGCCCTTCTTTTGCAAGATCTTGCTTACTTGGTCAAATAGAGCTGTTCATCTTCTAATTCTGCTCTGCTCTTTGCCTGTCCCAACAGAGGAAGAATGGTCTGATGGACCATGAGGATTTCAGAGCCTGCCTTATTTCCATGGGTTATGATCTGGTAAGAACAAAGTTAAAACTGCTCTGAGTTGATATTTTATTGAGCTTGGATTTATATTACTGGGAAGTGACTAGCTTAAATGTAAGGTAGCACACGTGAGATTGGTTCATTTTTATGACATGGGATAATATTTTTGAAGGTCTGCCTTTTACCATATAAAACTAATTTTACAAAGCCAAAACTTATTTTTATTCAGTAATAGGTTGGATTTTTTTTTCCCAGTGAAGGAATCAAGAATATGGGCTTTCCTGATGATTTTTAAGAACTTTATTGCTATAATTCATATACTACAGTTCACTCCTTAAAAGTGTATGCTTGGGTCGGGGATTTAGCTCAGTGGTTTTGCCGCCTGCCTCGTAAGCGCAAGGACCCGAGTTCGATCCCCGGTACCAAAAAAAAAAAGTGTATACTTCATTGGCATTTAGTGTCCTGATGGTTTACCCACCCCCCGCCCAATGTAAGGAGCTTTTTCCTTTAACATTTCAAAAGGTAAAAAGTTTTTAGTAATAAGTCAGCTAAGAAAAACTGACATTCACATGGGCTTTGTTATCCCAGTATATCTAAACTTCTCTATTGCCCCTTAATGCATATTTTTAATATGATTTGCTTCGGTTCCTTCAAGAAATTTGAAATAAAATCATGAGAGCCATCTCTGAACTGCCTTTCTATTTAGCAGTATCACTTTTGTCACTTGCAGTCTGAGAAAGGGCCCAACTCCTGCTTTAAGTTAGTCTTCCATTGTTACATTATGTGACCCAGGAAAGCATCATGGGTCATAAGAGCAAGGAATTCTTTTTTTTGGGCGGGGGGGGGGTACCAGGAATTGAACTCAGGGCCTTGCACTTACCAGGCAGGCTCTGTACTGCTGAGCTACATCCCCACCTCTGAAGGAATTCTTATATTCAGGAACTTCTGCCTTGATTCTACAGCAACTTTTAAGTTGTTTGATGACAGTAAGCTTAAATCAGCCATAAAGAGAATCCCTTTTAGAGACTGAAGGGAAACACCAGATTACTTAAGTTTTCAAACATAAATTAACTGAATGTCTCTCTGTCATCTTGTCCAGGGTGAAGCTGAATTTGCCCGCATTATGACCCTGGTTGATCCCAATGGACAAGGCACAGTCACCTTCCAGTCCTTCATTGACTTCATGACCAGAGAGACGGCTGACACTGACACTGCAGAGCAGGTCATCGCCTCCTTCCGAATCCTGGCTTCTGACAAGGTCTGCATTGCTGAATTTCCTTCTACTTTAGCAGTATTACACCCATAATTTTAGCAAAAGAAAGAAACAGGTTGCCAACAGAAACCATTCTCATACCAGTGCGTTTTGTACAGCATCAGCACTGAATGTGGCAAGCAGCACAGTAGTGTACTGTGTACAGAGAAAATAGACTTTCCATCACTGGCATTTGTGCTTGGCTCTCATGCTGAGCTTTATAGCAGGGCCAGTACTGTGCATATTGTTCAGCTACATGCACATGTCTTACTGGTTCAACCCCATTTTACATGCTGGGTTGGTGCGTGTGACCCAGAAAGAAGAAATCACACGAGTCAGTTGTTAGAGAGCTGTGAGCTTTCCCCTGAAGAGTCACTGACCCTGACTTTGTGTCCAGTCACTGGAGCAAAGTTACATACAGCTATTCAGCTATACAGCTTAAAAACTGGCAGGGCTTTTGTTACACATAGCCTAGAAATTAAGTAAGAGTGTAACTGCAGGTTCAGAATTTTTAAATTTCATCCTTCAAACAAAAACATCTCAGGATGAAGAAATTCAATTTGGGATAGAATTATTTTACCCTGTGATCTAAC